ACAAGCCTACCCAAGAAAGCAAGTGCAAAAGCTTGAAAATTTGAAGATATAAAACTTTTGCACTGCTTTCTCGGTGTCAATGCATATCTTGGCAGTAAAAAGTGAAAACAGAGTAGAGCAATCCAAATTCTATTTCAAAGATCAGTGCCACTATGCTTTTTTTAATGGCATTTTTCTATTCCACTGTGGATGCTTAGCCATCTTCAAATAAAATCTCTAGTCGACTCAGATTGCACTACAATGTAGGTAGTATTTCAAAATCTATACAAGACAGCAAGTAGTTAATTAAAATAACCCTCCTTTGTCTCTGGACCAGGTTACTCTTCAATTCAGATGCCTTACTTTCTATAAAAGTAAAGCAAATCAAGGAAGAGAGTCTTTCCCCCTATCCTCTGCTTGACAGCACTCAGAATGAAATTCAGATTAACTATGAAAATCAGAAAAGCTCATAATTACCTTATCAGCTCGCCCTAGGAAAGAAGGTTTTCCAGCCAGTCCCAAGCAGATAGCACAAACAATGCTTGACTTGCCTGTGCCATTACCACCCACAATCAGGTTCAGGTTGGGTCCTGGATATACTTCACAGACATTGTATGTTCTGGAAAGCACAGCAAGTTTTTGAATTTTAAAACACTACATTACCTTTAAAAACAAAAATTAACTTGCTTAGAAAAATTTCATTATTTTATTAAGGAGATGCAATTCCTCATTTAGACTCAGTCATGAAATACCCTTTTGTAAGGAAGTCTCAAGAGTGAAAACTAACATTTCAGTGAAACACCATGAAATACATTCCCATCAGCCAGAGTACTCACTTTCTTTAAAATCAGTGACTATGAAGAATAAAATCCAGCAATATGATGATAACTTTATAAATGAACCTAGTACGATATCATTTTATTTCACGCATCAAAAAAAGAAAGCTGATCGTGCAGTAGCTTTCTAGAGTTAACGTATCAGCTAGTGTTCGTTTTTGTCTAACTGCGTTAGACATCTTTCATCATGTGCATCCGGAATGCCTACGGCAACAGGAACTATGGGAAGAGACCAAACCTACCCATGCAATTAACACCCTAAATTTCTAAACAATAATCTGATGTTCTTATTCCTGTATTGTGCCAAACACAGAGAGCTGAAACATTCCCACCAAAGGAGGAGTAGAAAGCAGTTAATGGCAACACAATATTATATACCATGTACTTGTGGAAGAGAAGGTATATGAACCCTTAATGAGGATATTTAATTGTCCCTGAGGATTCAATTAACATCAAACACATGACTCATTCACTACAATACTGTAGATTTTCAAGGCTCGAATGGAGCCGTAAGAAAATGGTCCGGTAACTTCTGCTGGTCCAAATACGTCAAAAAAATAATGGTATTCGCAGTATAGAGCTGAAAAAAACACGTGCCAAGCCCACAAACACTTCACCCTAACGGGTCTCAAGGCCTACCCCCACTTCTCCACGAGCACCTTCTGCAGTCTGCCCTTCTCCGCTGCTTGGCAGCCACGCACCCGAGAGACAAAGAGCACGCGGAGGCTGCACGGCCGACAGCCGCCATCACCTCTGGGGAAGGCCGGCCGGCACCAGGTAAACGACACTGCGCTGACAACCCCTGGGGCTCGTAACCCAGACAGCAGTGTCTTCCAGCAACACCGCATCTCCCAAGGAACGCCGCTTCCCGCACTCCCTCCTCCAGCCTTCGGTACCCGCCATCCCACACCGCTGCTTCCGCCCCTCTACGGCGGGGCGGAAGGAGCAGGCCGCGGCCGCTCAAAGCGAGAGAAATGCCCCCCGCTCACTCACAGAAAGTTCTTCATGAAGATCTTGACGATGGAACCCAGTACGAAGCGGGGCTTGGACTCGCCACGCTTCACAACCTTGCCCTTTTGCGGCGCAGTCGCCATGCTGCCCGCAGCCCACCCTCGCTGCCCCGCGGGGCCGCGCCTAGCGCTCGGCAGCGGCTATCCGGGGGGCGGGGCCGAGCCGCCCTAAAGCCGCTCCTCATTGGCTGGAGCGCGCCGCGCCGGCGCCCATTGGCTGCGGGGCAGGCGGGGCGGGTGCTGTAGCCGGGGCCGCGGCGCAGCGCCCGGCACGGCCCGCCCGGGCTGGCGGGTGCCGAGCGCCGCGTTCCGCTGTTCGGGCGGTCCGGCCACCGCCGCGCTCGCTGCTACGTTTGCGACATCGCGAGTGGCTGGGCGTGTTTAGTTTGGAGAAAACTGAGAGGGAATCTCATTGATGCATACAACTGTCGCAAAGGCGGTTGCCGAGAGAAGGTTGCTAGACTCTTTTCAGTGGTGTCCTGCGACAGGACGAGGAGCAGTGGCCAGAAAGAGCTTTACTCAACGTGACGAGAGCCTCTTTACACTGAGGGCGACAGAGCACTGTGACAGCCTTCCCCTGGAGGTTGTGGAGTCTCCCTCTCTGGAGGCATTCAAACCCCACCTAGACTCATTCCTGTGTCGCTTGCTGTAGGTGACTGCTTTCATTTTTGAATAATAGCAAGAGTAATGTGTTCACAAGCAGCTGACTAGGTAGGTATCTAGAATATGCAGATAAGATTATCAATTCCTTTTGGCTCGTCCTCAGTGTCCAGGAAACAGAAAATGGCTTCAATCTCTGTGGTTAAATAAATACATGAGTATTGAATGTACAATACTGAACAATCTCTTAAATTGTTTCTGTCACCAAAATGAAAATGTATGTAAGATGCAAGGACCTAGATCATCCTAGGTGCTGTTGATCCTTATATGCTGTTAGGAAAAGCATATTCTTAGTTCTGAAAGGAGCAGGATATGGTTGCTGTAAGAATAATTTCTACCACTCAGTACATGGCTTCCTGCAGCAGTTCAGATTACGTTTTGTTGGCCTTCTTGGTGATGTGATCCACTCATTTCATTCTCTTCATGTTCAAAATGAATTCAGGCTACTTTATTAGGTTCAGGTCTTTCTCCTTATACTAATCAGTATGAAATCTAGAGCAGAGGAATAAGATGATCCTCAAATTTAAATTTTATTAGGAAGTTAGAGTAAATTAAAAAAAAAAAACCAAAATCTTACACACAAATACATAAAACCTTAAAAAATAACAAGATGTGAATATAAATGCAACACGTCTGTGGTTGGGCAAAGGGTAAGTGCATTCTCTGTGAGTGTACAAACTTATTTAATAAAAAAAACAAACAAACAGACTCTCATGACAGAAAACATATGGCTTTAAAGTGTTTAATTTCCTATAATTCCACAGGCCAGCATCTTATGTTGAATTATACTGAACACTAGAAGTGAGTTTGTTATTGACAAATATACTTGTTATAGTAAAATACACTGTCACAAAAAATTGCCAGCAGAGTATTAAGTTTCCCAGAGAGATTTGTCATTGAGAATAATTGCACTTAACCTGTGGGATAATATGAGTAGCTAACACTATTTTCTTTGTTATTTCAAAACATTTATAATTTTCTTAACAAAAATCCATCCTATCCCCAACACAAAACATTCACTGAATGCAGATTTAAGATAACATAACACTGGACTTCAATTGTGCAACTTGAATTTCCTCTTTTTACTTACATACCAGAAATGTTAAAAAAAATTAAAAATTAATGATCTGTGCAAAATGGGAAGCCTTTATGTAATAACTGATACCTCACGCAAAAGAGGAAATAATATCAAAAACTTATGGTCTAAGAAGCCCTGAGTCAATAATTTCATTGAAAAGGCAAGGAATATTAGTGCTCCAAGTTCTTCCTATGTATCGGTGTGTATTCAAACCAGTCCAGTATTTACTTAAAACATATTTTAAGACAGGCAGTTCATGCAGTTTCTCAGATACAATTCTTCAATGTGCTTCATTCCTTTCAGCAGAATGTATTTAATACTCAATTTCGTTTAAGCTGTCAGGATAGCCTGATGAGAACTGAATTTCTTCCACTTCTGGAATACAAAGAATGAAGAAATACTGAAATTATTTTTATTTTTGTCATACTTAATAATACTTACAGCAGAATTTAATTAGCATGCTGGATTTAAATGGGACTGTCATGTGGTTTTTAAAAAGTTTACAGCCACTTTACTAGTTGAGATTCTGAGGATGATCTCACATCCTATTAGATAGTAAAAGTTCTGCACTGACCTCTGCTTGATATTAAATTCAAATGGAGACTCAAGGGAAATATCACCCACCCACAAACAAGCACTGTGAATTTCAGGTGTTTCTAACAAAGTGTCTTGAAACTTACCCAAACAAGGTCCTGCCTGGAACAGAATATCATCAATAGCAGTGTCACTTCTTATTGACACACCACGGATTGCCTCAAAAATAATCTGTAAAGTAAGACACAAATTTTCTGAATCCAAATGGTGGAAGGACTGAAAAAAATGATAGCCATGCAACCTATTCAAGGGATACCCTTTACCCCTTCCCCTGCCCTCCCTTCCCCTCTCCTTTTCCCCTCCCTTTCATTTTCCCTTCTCCTTAGACAGACCTCTGCCTTTGCATCATCCCTTCTCCTTGCTGCTCCCTTGGAAAGATTAACCTACAAGAAGCTGCCATTTCATCACAGCTCAGTGGTTGTGTCAAATCTGGACAGGGCTACAGACAACTGAAGGAAAAGAAATTGCACAAATGATTCTGAAAAAGCCCTACAACTACTGACAAAAAATGATGGTGTTTAAATTTAAATACTTTGAAATAGCATTTAAGTATGTTTAAAAAAATTTGAATTCATACCTATTTTCCTACTTGCAACCTATTCACATCTTTAATAAATCCCTCCATAACTTCATTTGTAAAAAATTACATTATTTCATGTTCTTCAGGTATCTATTCAATGCCACGTACATTTTAACATTTTCGTTTATTTTTTTTAAACAATACAAAACTTGGGTTCACTTCAATATTCCAAGTTGACTGCTTCTTGCTTGTTTTTCTTACCTGGTAGTTTGTATCACTTTCATATTCTATCAGTCCCCTTAGCCATGAGATGCTTTGCTCCCCTGTCCTCCTCCACAAAGGTATCTCTTCATCATCCCCTTCCTTTTTTAGATAAACACTTAATAATCCAGTCCCAGCTCCATACATATGATAGAAAAATGTCAGGCACTGTTTTCCAGAAGTTCCTCTTAGTGATCTTGAAACTAGGTATGCTCTCTGTCCATAGACCATGTTAGATGCCTCTATATACATGTAGTATCCTTAGAAAGATATATAAGTAACTATTAGCAAAGTAGGATACATTATGTTGGAATGTTCATTATGCTCAACATGCTCATTATATTTAAAAAAACACCACGACTGAAGCTATTTTGATAATGATTCATAGACTTTCTGCCTTTATAAAATGTAATTGAGAAATTGTAATAACTGTGTGCTCTAAAAAGCCAAGAGATGATCTAGTCTTTCTAACAAGTTTATAGTATGATTCAGTCTTTAGAGAAAAAGTTATTTTATTATGCTGTCATATGAGCTCTAGGTTTTGATTTTTAACTGAAGGAATTTCTATGCACAGTGAACAACAAAGTCTTTGAAATGGATTGCACTAAGTTTGGTACAAACCAGCTTGGGAATTCTCCAATACACTGTATCAATTATTGACCTACAGCTGTAGATAATCTTCCTTTTCACCTTCTCTCTTGACTGCTGGTCACCACCAAACTACCACCTGGCTTAGAGAGGACATCTTCACTAGGGGTTTGTGCAGAAAATAGGACTCTTAAGTATCACAAGAGACTCTCAAGCATCCCACTGGCTGCTGTTGCTTCTCTCAGCATTCCACCTGTCTCACTGATCCCTGGGAATTCCCTCTCCCTCTGAAGGCAATCTCACCCCCAGGACTTGTGGTGACAGGCAGGCAAAGGGACAGGCCACAACAAGGAAGCATTGGGATTGCATGAAGAGTTCCTGCATTATCTGAGTTCACTGTCTCCTGGCAGAGCGCACATCTCAAAACAGAACAGTTGCTTCATGCAGTGGATGGGATGTGGGGATGCTCCTCAGTCTTGTGACACACATCAGTTTGCTCCAGCTGGTGATATCTGAGTGATGGAATGAGGAATTTGCCTTCCACCAATTCACGGCCTGAACACTTAAAACTTGGTTATATCTGTTGAAATACACAGCCACAGGAAAGAATACAAAGGAAGACTATACTAGAGCTGCTCTTACACAGGAATTGCGCTCTGATAGAGATTGATTAACTGGAATTCCGAGACAGCTGCAAAGCTATGCTTGGGTATGCTTTAGGCTATGGTTGGTGGTGATACTGTTTTCGGTGCACTTATGGTGATAGGGGTCTGCTGGGAAGGACAGATAAATATGATTGCCTAGCAGAAGAACCACAATAGTACAGCCAGGATGAATATAATACTCCCTACTGGCTGGACAATACCCATACCTACAGATAGGTCCAAAAGCCAAATGGACTGTTCCATCTCACCCCCCAGAATGTATGGTTCACCCCACACCTGTAACCCTCCCCTGAAACATCAGGTGCCTGTGACCCCATTGGCCCAAGTCTTGTTCCAGCCCACCTTGAAGCCCCCTGGTAAGGGGTCTCCGAGGGGCCAGACGCTCTCTTGGAACTTCCTCCCTCCTCCTGGATCCCCCCCTCTTGGAGTCCCTGCTCTTCCCTTTGTCTCTCCCCTCCCCCATCACCTCAGGCCCTGCCACGTGCTGTGTCTAGCAGCTCGAGGCAGGACCTCTCTCCATCCCGAATAAACCTTATCTTCCAAGAGCAATCAACAGAGATCTCTCAACTGTATCCACCCAAACCGTCCTGGAGCCCTCCAACATCTTTACAGGGGTCCTACCTACCTAAATACTTGACCTTGCACTAGTGAGCTTGTGGAGCACATTTTCAAGATAAAGGTCTTGTGGGATCTCTTTTATTCTTCATGTTTTCTTTTAAGGTTGAACCCAAAGGTGTTCATGCAGAAGAATCCCAACCACTTGCACAGCTTACTGTTATGAAATGAACTAAGGAATAATAATTCCTTATAATGAGGAATGATTATTGAGTCACAGATGGGCTTAAAACGCTCTCAGTTGTAAAGCCAAGCTATGAGCCTCACTTCTCAGACTACTTAATGATCCACATTAACTGAAAATAGTTCTAAACTCAGTTTCAGGGACTATTCACATATTCACATAAACTGGGAGTTTGGAAGGAGCTTTTTTCTGTGGGATGTGGACAGTAATCTTCTTCTTTTATCTCCTAAGGAAAAGGCTACATTGGAACGTGACAACCAAATTATCCACATGGCCTGAGGATAATTCAGATTAAATGTCATATTCTCAGAACAACTCAGTGCAGAATGTGCTTACTTAATTTGATTAGTAACTTTTCTGAAGAGAAGAGTAAAAGCTTTCTCTGTCTTCTGGATTATCATTTAAAATATTTAATTAATCCTAACTGTCAATCTCTGTTCTGAAAATTCAATGTGGAACTTAACTCACCTACCCCAGTAGTGTGGTCTCCTTTCGGTCCAGTGTAAGAAGTGGGAGTTGGACCCCTCTTCCTGTGCCAGCTCCCACGACCTCTCTTCTTCTGGGTAAACATACATTCATCTTTTTCAAAAGTGCATTCTCCAGGAGTGGGAAGCAACAGATCTGTAAGGAGAGGATAGAGTTTAAAATTTTAAATACATTAGACTGATACATGGAGAGATTACACAAGTAATGTATTTCATTTCCTCACCTGCTGACCTCAATTATAGCTCCCTGGCAATGCTTACAATAGTCACAAGCTTACACAAGAAACCTTCAAACTGTCATGTAAAATTTAATTTAATTCTCTTCACATCTTTGGGAAAATCTGTGCCCTAGTCTAGCTAAGTGACTAGGATTCGCTAGTCCTAGGATTCTTTAAAACAGCTTATTTGTCTTCACAATGGGGCTTTGGACTAGATTATCTTATGAGGTCTTTTGGTTTTAATCATTGGATTCAATGGTCTTAGAGGTCTTTTCTAACTTCAGCAATTCTATGATTCTGTAACAGGCTCTTATAGGTCACTGTTTGGGCACCCCAAGCACGCATATAAGTTCCAGCATGTATAACGTGCATAATAAATGAGCCTTGTCAAAGACTGGAGTTTCTGTGAACTGAAATCAATGCCACATTCAGCTCTCCTCTGCTCCTTTGGCACCAGACTCTACTGCAGCCTACAACAGACCACAGAGCTGCAATTACTAGAACTCAATTCTATTAGATCATGCAAAAGGTGACACAGTTCAGGTGCATGCCAGGAAGCTTCTGTCAGGTAATGTTAATCTGTCATCCAGAAGTAGACATTTTGAGCTGGCTCCACCTTTTGAAGAGGAGGAAGCCTTGATACCTCTGGGGCATTTTTCAGGCATTTGTTCAGGCTGCCATCAGAGACAAGCCATGGCATGACTGTACACCAGATACGAGTTCTGCACCTCTAGTTCCTTTTCCAATTACTTAAAAATTACAGCAAGGCAAAACAGACAACTGTTGGAAATAGTTTAGAAAAATGGCATCTTGTTTTGTACATGTGATTTCTCTCTGTTTTGTACACGTGATTTCTCTCTGACGGCATAAAATCCAATCAAAAGAGGTCATTAAAAAGCTAGTAGGACCATTGCAAAGGCATGGCTTTATTACAAAGAACAGAATTGTAGATTGTGCCTGCCTCATGAGAATGTTTTTTTTTTAGTTAGGGTACAATCGGTGTATTGTCAAACCTCATGAAGCCACAAAAGAGGGAGTTTGGTGAGTTCGGAGAGGTTGGCCTGTGCATGTCAAAGGGTAGTTTTGCTGAAAACTATTCAGTTCTTCCCACTACAGAGAGAGGCTTGGACTGCTTTTCTCTGTCTTCATCAAAGAACTGCAGCTCAGGTGAGGCTGTGCCTTGGCCTTGCGCAACCATACTTCTTACCTAAAAAAGAAATTATGCTCTGTTTTGAAAAATACTGCTTTGGGGTCCATTCCTGGCTTTTTAAAGACCATTTGAAAACTACTTTTCATTCAGTTGAACTGTGGGTTTATTTTAAAGCCCTCAAAGGACCATTCACCTATATACAACTGCTCTGGAGTCACTGAAATTTATTAAGAGTTAGCCGTGAGCTAACTGAGCAAAAGCTGGTCTGTGAGCAAAAAGCTGGTCCTTGCTGGATGTTTGCTACTTTGCAAAAATAGAATTTATGCATTACTTATCGGAAAAAAAGAAAAGACAAGAAACCATAACAGGATGAAGACAGCTGTAGGATAGGCTTGAAAAATGAACTCGTACTCAAAAGGATAGTAGCTGTTGGATGACAAATACATATGGTCTTACCAGCAGCCTGGCAACTTCCCAGGCTCAATGATACATCATCCAGTGCCACAAGTCCACAGTCCCAGAAGCTTTTACACCAGCTAACAAAGACAACCTGCGATACAGGAAGGAAGTTTCAGGTACAAAACCTGGCACTGTTAAGAGTCTGAAATGCTAAGTGTTTTTTTCCAAATGCACAGATAATTTTGAAATCTACAGAACAGGAAAAATGGATCCACTTTGCCGTGGCACAATCTGACTGAAATGTCGATTCCAGTGGGGACTAAATGTATGTTTTCAATCTAAAGAAAATATTTTCTAGCTTTTGTAGGCAAATTATATATATCTGTATGGAATTCCCATTTTGCTAGAGTATTTTTTGTCTGTGAGAAAACATGACTCACTAAGGTTCTTGTGGTTTTTTCTTGCACAACACCCAACATGAACAATTCAAATATCTTCAGCTACTTATCCTGAAAACTAGGAGGTTTCAACCTTGGAAAAATAAATTTGAAAGAGTAATGTGAAATGAGGGACAAGAGTTATGGCAAAATACAAAGAATAATAGAGATGAACTGAAACTACTATACAAAATGGGATTATTTATAAATTACTCACTGCCATGACATTGTAATGCAGGAGACTTGAAATGCTATGCATAATTCACAGTGTTCATCTGAGTTAGCAAAGATTAATAAAAACATCCAAGATCATTGATTTGAGTAAACATTAATTCTGCCATGAAAAATACAAGTAACTCATGAGATAGTAAAATAAAATGTAAAGAAACTAAGACTCTCAGTTGCCCTTCTGTCAAAGTTGACACAGTTCACTTTGAATTGCAGAAGACACATTAGGATTTGTTTTGTGAAAACACTGCTGGCGATTTTCTTGGCCTAACTACTTCAAACCATCTGTCTGACCACTGGGGTTAAGACCATAATTTAAGAGGATCTTTTCCAAAAACAATTCCTTTGTATTGAGGTCTATTCTAGCGATTGCAGATGGATTACTGTCACTTCTGACTGTTTAATCTTCTGGACAACACTTCACTTGCATATTTGAGGTTAAGTGCTGACTGACAAGTTTCATATGGGTAAAAAAAGTAATTTAAAAGTTGTTAGAGCATTATTTAGTATGTTCTCTTCTAGTAGGATTGGTAACACCTTCAATATGGTACCTACATGGTATTTTGCCAGTTTGCTTTACTATGTAGTATTTATTGACTCATTTGCTTATAGTAACAGCAACTACATCAAAAACTTGGAAGCATGTATGTATTATGCTACCCAGAGTGAAGCAATTTTTGAAACTCTTCCATTCAGTGCTACCAATCCTGGTTATTATTATCCATCTTGTAAATTGCCACTGGTGTGGAGTTAAAGACTGACCTTGCACAGAATGCAAAACTGCTCAGCATATGGTGGCCTAAATCCCACACTTCTTTTTTTTTCTGTCCACTGTAGAATGGTATCTTAGCCTCAAGGTTTAACAGGGAAAAAAATTCTTTCATACTTTTTAAGTTCATTGTCAGCACACGGGGGCAATCCTTTAAAAACATTAGCATCTCTTGGAAAAAAACATAAAATAAGTGTAAAATAAAATACTGACATTGGGAGAATATAATTCACCAGAATTTTAATAAATACATTCTGGTGAACATTTGTAATGAACTAAAGGCATATTATAGCCCTAAATCCATGAATCTTCAGAAAACCACACCTGTAAGGATGAAGTCAGTCCTCATTTGTGAAATAACATTTCCACACTGTGGAGTCATGTTTTAAGCAATGCTTTATATTGACCTCACTGGGAGCAGGATTAAGTTCCTTATTCTTAGATTGCAGTAATTTGTTCCATACAAGGTATGTAACTACCCACTAGATCCCGGAGAAAGCCCTCCATTTAAAAAGCATCACAATAATAACTGTGATCTCTCAAAGGCCATTGAACCAGTAATCTTTGTAAAACCAAAGGATTCATCTGATTCAGTGACACTTCTAAATGTGTTCAGCTTTTCCATCTGTACCTTAAGCTTCACTGGTTTTCCACTTGGTTTTTGTGGTGTTGAGAGACACACTGCCAAGAGCACACTCCATAATTTCAGGGATGAAATTACAAAGTCTTCTACTTGGAAGTTTCTGCTTGGGAGTGCAGAGTTTTCACTGTTGGATATAGCAAATATACTGAAATCGTTATATAGTCTCCTCAATTTATTTTGTTGTTACATTCTTTATTTAGTTTTAGGCAATGGACTAGAACATTTTTATTCACAGGTCAAATTTATTTACTCTTCTTCTGTTTTAAATATCTTTTTCTGTCATAAAGCAAAATATTTGAGTATTTGAACTTTACCTACCAAAATTTTATCAACTTGGATTTACTCAACTACTCATTTTCACACTTAGTCAGATCTCTGAATCCTTTTACAGTCTCAATAGAACTAATGTCAAGTTGCTTTGCAGTTGTTCTTGTTTTAAATTAATATATTTGCTAGGTCAATATTTCAAAAAAGAAAAATTTTATTACTTTATCTCATGCCTTGGAAAAGATAATAGGGTATTCTTTGTGCTGAGCTTTTTTTGCCATAAAGCATGGCAGACGAACAATGTGCTGATTGTTTCAAGCTAGGTGACAGAGATTCCTGGACTCACATGCTATTTTGGATGCTAAATTTAAAATATTATCCAGTGAAGGCAGTTGTTGCCTGTGTTACTGAAAAGTAAAACATCTCTCATGTCTCTTTTTGTTCCAGTACCAGGACACAGCTAGGCCATCAGTTTACTTCCAAACCGTTGCCTGAGTTTAGAAGCTGGTTTGTGTATCTTGCAGTGCCTAATCAATGGTCCTGGTGTTCAGTCTCGAAGTATCAATAATCCTTTCTTAGCACTTATCCTGGATGATACGAGGTATGAGCAATGCCAGGTGAAAACGGCCAGTCGAGCAAGCTAAGACACCATATTGGGTTGTGCTGCAGATACTGGGTGAGGTAGAAGGGATTTCTCATCCTTAGCACTCAGCGACTTTACAAGGAGTTAAAGCTCACATGCATGTAAAGTTAACCTGCTTTTAGATGAGAAGAAATAGGAGGACATGCAATAAGGTACCTTCAGTGTAAGGAGGGATAATGGGGAAGCTTGCTATAGGAGTTTTGGAGGGACCTGGACTGAGAATAGGAGAAAAGGAGATCTCTATATGTTCTGTGTGTTTTCTTTCCTCCTTGTTTATCCCAGAACATATGCATCTTGTTCAATTAGAGAGCAAGATCAGCCAAAGAGAAGAAGAACATGAAAACAGCACAGTCTGGCAATTTAAAAGCAAGCTGTACCTCTGCAGTAAGGTAATTTATCTTTTCCATCCTAATGAATAATCCTAGGTTTAAGTGACACACTGTAAATCCGTGTAGACACAAAACCTGGTCTGTCACTTAGACACATTTAAAGTTCAATTTCCTAAAGAAGAAGGACAGCTATAGTGACGTCTAAGGTGGTTTTTTTTCCTGAGAAGCTACTGTTTTAACTTCCTCGCAGTGACACAAAACTCAGTATTACAAAATCAAAAAATAATTTGAACACTAGAAATGAAAGTGTGACCTGACAGGAAAAAGCAGTCAAGATGTTTTCACACAAGACACGCAGCCTGCCTTTTCAGTCAGCTATTCTAATAAAGAGTTTACAAATAAGCATGTAAGCCAGGGACTGACCACACAAGAGATGGGAAGATCATTCTGACTGTCTCAGGGCATTTCAATGCAGATATTTTAAGTGTACACCAAATTACTCATAGCTAGTTTAAATAAAACTAAATTTTATGTGTCTTGTATTTCTTTGGCCTAAATAGTCAGAAACTCATTTATCAAGAATTCAAGTAAGCTATTAAGCCAAAATTGGACCATTTGCAAGCTTCTGTCATTTAAAATAAATTTATTTAAAATGGCATTCGCCAGGCAAGTTAAATTTCTTGCCATGTAAATACAACAAGCTTCTATGGGAAAAATAATGTAATATGAAAGCTTCTACATAAATAACTGGATAACATTGGTAATAAGCTTGTGACAGTTGAACAAGTATTTTTGAAAACCTTTCTGCCCAAGTGCAGAAACAAACAATGAAAAAGAAACATAAAGCCAACAAAATAACCTAGTGCCATAGGCTGTTTATCCTACATCTCCTCTTGCTGGATTGCACAGCCTAGTAGAGAACATTGCCTGCACACAAATATATACATGACACTGATATTCTCATCTGTCTCTCACGACCCTCCCAGATTTCCACAAATCTACTGTAAGGGCTCTATCCTCATTCCAGCCGAATAGTTTCCTGACTATTAAGAATCGGAGACACCAAAAGAAGATGTGTAATATTTTGTGCAACATATCACCTTGCTTAGCATCTGTGAAGATGCAAGCCACTTAGGCATTGCTTCCTAACCTGAGTAACTTTTTCAGTTTCCAATATACTGTTTCCATAACCATGTATCAAGCACCACAGGAACTGAGGTTCCCATTTAGCAGCACTATCCTACTGTTTCCAAACTCTACCATTCTTATATTAGACAGTCATCTCTGGTGACTGTTCTTCAAAAAGTTTTTTCTTTTAAATGGTAAGGGAAGGAATGACAGGACTGTCCTATAAAACTGCAGCTCATTCCAACCTCTTTAGGGTGCATACCTTATTGTGGGAAGACTATATAAAGGTTTTGTTGGAAAAGTACCAAGGAGGAGGAGGATGAGGATGAGGAGGACAAGAAGGACGAGAGCAAGGAGGAGGATGAGGAGGACAAGGAGGAGGAGGAAGATGAAGAGGAGGGGGAGGAGGAGGATGAGGAGGACAAGGAGGATAAGAGCAAGGAGGAGGATGAGGAGGACGAGGAGGAGGAGGAGGAAGATGAGGAGGAGGGGGAGGAGGACGATGAGGAGGGGGAGGAGGAGGATGAGGATGAGAAGGACAAGGAGGATGAGGACAAGGAGGAAGACGAGGAGGATGAGGAGGAGGATGAGGATGCCCTCCTTCAGCTGGCACCTGAGTGGAGAACTTTGTTTTTCATACTAGTGACTTGATCACAGGGATCTAGGTTTTCATTGTTTATCCAAGATTAGTTTAGTCATTTACCTATGACTTTGGTGGACAAGCAGGGAGCACAGATTTCTTGCCAGCAAAAGAAATAAATGCTAGAATCATTTAACATTGAGCATCACCACAGTGATAATGTGAGAAGAAAGGTCCAAAGACAATCAGATCAAGTACCAGGAAGGCAGCAGGGTGATAATAGATATTTAGGGAAAACAGTACAAGAAACAAACTAGCACTAAAGCTTTTGTCTCATGTCCAACCCAAAAAAACCTTAAGAACTTGCTGAACAGGAGGTCACAACTGGACCACTGTGGTTACAGTCACTGTGAGGTCATTTTCCATGAATTTTTAAAATTTTTAAAAAAATATATATGTACTATTAGCCTTCACAGCATCTTGCAATAAAGTTTCTCAGTGTTATTCTGAGAAAGTTTTCTCTTTCTTTTTTTTTTTAAACGTGTAAATATTCAAGTACAACACTGAGTCACTTGATTTTTCTTTCTCACAATGGCAACTAAAATTAGTTACGGAGGATGAGAGAAAGCAAACAGATGAACTCAAGTAAAGAGAGTGAGGAAAAAACATCAAAGAAGAATAAAAAAATATTTAAGGAAACCCAAAAATGCAGCCACAGCTACTCTGATGAAAGTAGGATGGACTGTTGTGCCAATTACCTTTCTGAGGATTTGATTTTGAACTCTTTGGGAGGTTCAAGCAGGTAATATTGCAAAATATGGCAATATTTTATCAGTTATACTGCAAAAGTTTGCATGATGGATAAAGAACACAAGCTGTTTGTTTTCAAAAACCTGAGTTTCAGAATGGTAACCCAAATCTAGCAAGAATGAGCAGAAATGATAAAAGCAGACCTGACTGAACTCAAACCTTCATTACTTTAATCTAGGTATTTGGACTTCATTGTGAAATTGCATAAGTGAAATATTTTTCTATGCTGATGTTTACCCACCACACACACACACAAAATATTAAAATGTAGATTCCTACTTCACAGTTCATGTGAGCTTCTCAAGGATGCAAATGATACGAGAAATTTTCTTCCAGTTAGCTCCTACATTTTCTTGACATGTATTGGCATGGAAGATCAATTTCAGTACATTCAATCAACTGAAAATAATCTACATAATTCAGATTTAGGTTTTCATGCTGCCCTTCCAGAGGTTTATACAATAAACCATGAAGGATTTAAGTGATGTCAAAAATATTAGATTTTTTTTTTTGCATTTCTTTCTTTTTACACTGATTCCCTGGGTACAGCATAGATCAATATACACTGTATTTATATACAATCATAGGTACTCAAACCAACTTGGAGAGACAGTGCTGCAAGTACAAAGTAGGTAATCAGGATTTTAAATTCCCTGCCTTCTTACTAACATTATCAGCATGTGTATTTACAGTATGTGTGCACACACGCACACACACACATATATAAATATAAATATATATGCACACAAACACACATATATGTATGTAGGTATAGACATTTATGACTTGCTTAGCTGGATCATACCTGCCTAGCCTTTAAAACATTTTATTTTCAAAATGTCATATTAAAGCCAGCTGGCCAGCTTCTCATTTCCTGCTCACAGAACTCAAGCCATCAGCTTGTGCCAGACTGCAGTCAGCTAATTCAAAAAGAACTTGCAAAAGCCATTACAGAAACCAAGCAATGAAAATCATCTTTTTATTGTCCTGATGCAAACAAATAGGCTATCAAAACTAAAATGTATTAGATGGAGTTTGTATGATTTTCTAAGGGTTGGGAGTAGCATTCGTAATAGAAAAAAGATGAAGGATGTATTTTACAGCAGTTGTTTTCTGGCTGAAAAAATAATTTTGACCTTCAGGACACATTGTCGCTGACTTGACCAGCTATTAAGGAACTGCCAGGAGACTGCTTACTGTTTCCACACGGGCTGACCCAATCCAAAAGTGGCTCCTGGTATCCAAGAAGATATTCAGCCAAACTACTGTGCCTACAACTTCTTACCATCCAAGTCTACATATGATACATCTCAGAAAACAATAACACAGGCAGCAGTCACTACGTCTGTATTAGAGGAATGGTGGCAGCCCATCTTATTTTGAGACTACCTCTCTCCACTGAAAGACTGTTTTTTACTTGTCTATAACATTGCCAAGACACAATGATCTCAGCTCAGATTTTCCATGCTAGGTCCTTGCTACAGCCTTGTTTTGGAAGATTTAATCCAAAACAGTCCCATCATTTCTGAGAACAAGGCTAGGAAAAAAGAGTTTATTTTGCCCCTATTATTAAACAAAAATATTCTGTGAAAATCTTGAGCACTCCAAGGCTTTGGAATAGGAGCAGAAAAGTGTCAAGAGTCTGATCTTTATGCCAGTGCTATCTTTTCTGTCAAGTCATTAGTTTTTCAGAAACTACAATTTGTAAGAAATGGGACAAAAAGGGCAAATGGAATGGAACATGAGTAATATTACAGGGAAAAAAATTTGGATTGTCCAGAGCTGAGAGTAAGATGAGGACTAGGGTGAGGGGCAGAGGGGTGGTTCATTGCCTCTGGGGCAGGTTAGATAAAATAAAGATGGCTCAGTGAGGACACAAGAAACACAAGGACAGGTCACAGAAGACAGGACAAGAATGTGTCATGTGTCTAAACACTGTCACCCTCCGGAGTCAGAAGTGTAATCCCTTACTTGCTGGTTCCCACCACTCCTTTCCACCAGCCAAAATATGTTATGGTGCACCTCCACAGATGCCCTACATTGAAATAAGTGGGTTTTGCCAGCTATTTCACTATGTGCTAGGCAGACACATCTTCACAGATAACTAACCTGAGTGTTTACACAGTGCCACACAGTAATACTTCATTTCCTTCTGTTGCCTTGGAAAAGAAGATACAAACAAAATAAAGCACGAAAAGGCTTTAAAAAGTATTAAGGTTGAAGAGCTGGACGTGAGATTGCAAAGAAAAGCCAGAATCAAGTTCACTGTTCAACTTCATTTGAGCCTGCTTCTAAATATTACAAGTAGACAGGCTGTAACTACACCAGGTTTTCACCTTCTGCCTTAAGCAGACATCCTTAAACTTTGACAATATTTGTCTTTTTTATGCTATCTTCCCATCTGTGAACACACCTTGACGTACTTTTCCATTTACCATGTTTCAGAACTTCACCCATTTTCTTCTGTTTGTCTAAGGAAAACTTTATAAACTGAACCCCCTGACAAATACATAGTTATTTAACTAAGGGGTGCCTCAAGTATGGTTTGCTGAACACATGCTGACTTCAAAAGCCCAGCCAGTCTCCCAATACATTGTGATATTTGAGGAATGCCTCCTCAACAGAAACATTTTGCGACTTGTTTCCATGGGAAGGAAGACTTTCACAAGACCTGAAGCACCTGGTGAAGGTTTTTGAGAATTGCAAGGAGCCAATAAACCATGCTGCAGAGCATGGTTTTTCTCCCCCTCCTACACATCTTCATGCTCAGAAGCAGCGAGGCAAGCTTCTTCACAACTGTTTTACATATTCTGACTTCTAAGAAAACAAAAATTGTTCTTCACAAATTCATGCTAGAAAAGATTTTCCATGTAAATGTCTGATGCTAAAACTCTGCACCTCCAAGGCCGTCAACCAGTGTAACAGTCATGCTCAGATGTCATCACTACTCATGCAGTTGATTATGCTACATTAGCTACTAAACCCTTCCAGAAGTAATAGCGAAATACCTAAACAGTAGATGACAAAGTAAATTATAAGCTTGCCATTTTAACTTCTCTGCAAGGATCCTGGCATGATACTATGAGAAACTTTTCTAGTATGCACTTGCTGAGCACTAATAAAATTCTTTTTTTATTCTCTAACACTTGAAAGGGAATTACATATTCTATTATGTTTTATGGATAAAGTGCATTAAAAAACCCACTGAAACTTTAAGGTATCAGGTAACTGACAGAAAACACTATCTGACAGCTAGGACTGAAATTTTAAATGTAAATTTGCCTCTCAACACAATTAGGCACGTGTTTTTTTGTGACCTTCTATGGTCAGTAACTACTGTTATTTCAAAAACTAATTTGTAGCGGACTAAATATTTAAGATGTTTGTCTTTAATTTAGAAATACTTAGAGTTGCAAGACAAGCTTCAATTCATATGTTCATCATATTATCACATGTATCATATATTATCAACATGTAGTGATCCATCTCATTCTCCGCAGACAACTCACTGATAACGCAAATCTGTTACAGAAATCAGGATAAATACAGAAGTAGCACTTACAGAAAAAAGAGTGGAGACGAGGAATTACAACAGCTTAAAGACTTACTCAGGAGGCGGTGTCAAGTAGAAATGTGTTATTAATTTCCTGAGAGAAAGTAATGATCTCTCCAACAAGACACTGCTAATTCTTCAAGTCCATTGCTCTCATTTACATTGACTTCTGGTTTCATATTGTAACCCAGCAGTTGGGTTTAGGGAAGTAGGATGAGCTCCCCATTTTGACCAAAACTTGCCAATACTTTTTAGATTAATTAAAATCTGCAATTGAGTGTGATGATGATATGACTTACATAGCAAACAGGCAACCAAAAATGAGAGGATGTGGAGCATGCTGAGAAACCAAGACACAACTGGCTTTTGTTAGAGCTTCTCTGGTGAAGTCTCCAGCTAATTCACTTTGCAGGTATAGCTCACTTAGGATTAATATCTGTATAACAAAGAACACTGACAAGGCAAGGAAAATCTCCTCTCAAAATTCAGCAAATTTGAAGAGTTGGCTCTTACCTTGCAAGGCATAGGCTTCTTGAAGGAGATTTCAGCTTGAGTCCAAACTCCCTTTGGAGAGTCCAAGACAGACCAGATTTTCTCTTGAACAACATGATTCTCCTCAAAGATATAAACTGCAAGAATGCCACTCATCTTGAAAAACCCATATAAGGCATAATAAAAACGCAGACAAAACTGCAAGTTTCCTGGCAGGGTCGGGCCATACAGACGTCCAATGTACCCAGGCTGTGATGTAAACTTTGTGTTTGCCAACAAGTAATAGCCTGCAAGACAGCATCGTTATTATATTTAATATGGTATTAGCACAGCTGATTTGCTATTAAAGCAGCTTCTGTTATTGCATCAGACTTGGGTTATAAAACAGTTCCAATTGGCAAAAAATAGATTATCACACTCTGACAGGAAATAACCATTTTTTTTTCCAAAAGCATCCTGTCTGCTTCTAGCTAAAGTGGCACAAGTTTAGTGCACTAGCTAAGTTACCAGAAATAAGCACTTATCAAATTTATCCTGAAAAATTCCCTGGCTTACTGGCCTCACTGGAAAACTAGCCTTTTCAGGGTTACCACTGGGAGACAAAAAAAAAGAAGGGTGGGGCACAAGGCCTGTTACTCCCTACACCAAGTATAAAGAACTGAGACCTTAGTGCATATGATTAATAACCATGAATACTCTACACAGAGAGATGTCTGAATTTCAGAACTTATTAACAGTCTTTTCACCATGTGGTTTCACTATACAATATTTATGTTTTCCCTTAAAAAAGCAAACTATCCTAAGCCTAGAAGAGCTAAAAGGCCACTTTTCCTCTCTAAAAATAATTAATTAACTTATTATTACATTTACTTCCATATTTTTTTGATTCATCCCTCCAGCAACTACAGAGCAGTATAAGTGAAGAAAGATACTCTGATTTATGGCCCTGCCTCACTATTCAATAGGTGACCTTCCTACTCTACACATGGGGAAGCACAGCCAAAGTTCCAGATAGGACCAAGCTGTGAACACTGATTTTTAATGGCAGAGAGTTGCACTGAGGTAAGCTAATCATTGTGCCAGTGATATTACTTAACAGAGTGAACAACGATACAATAGGATAACCTTAACCTTTTATACAACATTTATATATAGTTTGACTCCTCTAGGAAAAAGCAGTTTTGATTCACCAAATCCAGTAGTGTGGTCTCCTGCTCTATACACATTGCGCTTCACTTTCACTCTGCTCCATCCTGGGCCATCTTTGTGATCTTGGTAAAAATTACACAGATCTTCCTCAAAATTGCAGCCTGCATTGGCAGGATTGAAAGTTGCTCCTAAAAGAAATATGCATAGGTTCTGTTAGGATGAGTACAGTGATAAACATAGGTTTGATACAGAAGGATGCCAAAGCATACTTTGGTTCGTCTTGCTTTTCTTTACTGAAGGTAAGCATGTGAAAAGATGTTACACATATACTGTGCACAGACATGAAGAAATCAAACTATCAAATTTCTATTGCAAGTTGTTCTTATATTCTTATATTTTTTGCAGAAGCCAGGAGAAACCCTGCTTCATAGCCCCCCAAAAACACAAACGAGCTCCAGATATTAAGATTAGATTCTTCCTTCGGGATAGATAATTCACAAGGACATTCAGACCATTTGTTTTCATCTGCTCCTTCATTCAAAAGATTATTAGGACAAAACGAGTGTGTCCGTGTGCCTGTGTGTGCCCTGAACATCAACATTTAGTATTTTTTTTTAAAGAGCACTTATTAAAAATCCTTTCCATAGTTATGTGTAAAGTGTGTGCATGTGCACGCTGTAAGTAGGCAAGCAAAATAATTTTAGTTCCTGTACCATCTCATGGCAACTTTGCTCTGGAGCTTGCCTCACACAGTGCTAACACTGCAGTGAAAAAAGCAGAACCATTTATAGTAAAGTTGATTAAAAGCAAAACTAAGACCCTCCCCAGCCCTGCTGATGGCTCTCTGAAAAAAAAGTGATTCTGCTGTATTGGCCATGCTAGTGAGTAAAACATTTCTACATCTTCAAAGGCCTCGCCAGTCTCTTATAGAAGGTGCTAAGGGAAGGAGAGGCACAACCCAAAGCTATCATGGAAATTTTGGCTTTGCCAGGAGCCCAGACACAGGACATTGTATACATCACTTTACAGCAGCATATATGACCTTTCTTCATGGAGATGAAGAGAGCTTTTTCACCAGTGGCAGGTACACAGGCAATTAGCTTTAGTAGAACAAAAATTGTGGCTTTGGAGTGATGCCTGAGGTCTTTTCAGTCTCAGGCCAAATCTAAGCCCTCCTATATGTCTTAACTCTTCCTGCAGCCATGGCCTCCTAGTTCTGCTTTCCTCGTTAAAGAAAAGGCAGCTGGAACACTACCATGTGGCATTAAACCCATATTTCGACTCATCCTTTGCTGAGCACGTTCAGTACTCTGGTACCTTTTTCTCCATCTGGCTAACATCAAGACTTCTGTTGAGCAAAACTTCCAGAAAAAAATAAAGAAAAAACTTAGTGTTGTTATATATACTGTGATGGCCAAATACAAGGTGAATGGAGAGCTCTTTCTTTTTAACATCTCTACTCAGAAGAACTGAAGATACAATAATTGATAAGTCTAAAAGATCAAACAGTATAAATTTTATTTCAACAAAGTATAAAGCAAATAATTTGCTTTCATTTTCCAAACAAAAAACCCCAAACAACCATAAAACCAACATTCAAAATCAAAGTTAGTAGGCGAAGTTCTAGATGAACCTATCATATTCAGAACAGATTCTGATTCATTCAGATTAGATCTGATTAGATCATCCATTCATTTAGATCTGAACTCCAGCCACTGGGGCAGAAAGTGCTTCAAAATTTATCCCATTTCTCAACAGATATAACTTATCTGAAAATTAAAATGGAAAAACAGACAAGCAGCTCCAACGCCATGAAAATTGCAAGCATAACTTAGGATTTTTGTTGCAAAATAAAGCAAATACCAAAAAGTTATTGAGGAGATAATGAAATAATGGATTTACTCAGCCAGGATATGTGGATTATTAATAATTAATGTATTTGGAATCTACCTCCTTCAGCAGTGATACTTCAGCAGTGGAGGCAGAGCTAGCAGATAAAAAAAGGGGGGGAAAACAGCCTCTTTTCCATTGATCACTTAGAAGAATTTGCGAAAATATTCAAACTTCTGACCAAAGGAATAGATGGCATCAGTGGGAAACCACTAATCTACTTCTGACTACTGTTGAGTGCCACAGTAAAACCTCAGCAACCAGCTACTGAAGAGGCTGCATTCACAAATGACAATGTCCTTTGTCCCAGGTGCCTCTACATCAGAAGTCACAGGGATTCAGGTGGTGTCTGCTGTTGTGAAAACCTAACAAATACCCAAAAAAACATACCCTGCCTGAGATGAGTAATACCTCCTGGAAGAGTGAACACAAGGAGACAAGGCTCATGTTTTGGCTCTGAAGAACACCTCAGGGCACGTGGCATGAAGGAGGCCTACACTGCCATTAATGAAAAGCCTATGCCATCTTCTTCCTCATACCATCACACCTAGGAAAATCCATCCTCTCTTTCTGTGACAAGCCTGCAAGTGGCAATTTCTCAACACGCATGGTGGAGTGATGCAAATGCAGCATTCAGTCCAGCACTCCAGATGCAGAACCCGGAGGGAAGGTCTTTGGAAAGGAAACATTAAGAATTGGTTTCTGAAAAATTGAATGGCACTGGTGTTATCTGCTGTTATGTCTTCTGAAAGAAAAGGAGCCCAGTGGCGCTAGTCAGTTGAAAAGGTAGCACCAAAATTGCAATTACTAACAGTTTTGAGGACCAAGGCAGAGGGGGAAAACAAGGGAGGTAAATAGCAGCAAGAGCTCATCATACCTGTCTGATTGCTGCAGTAAACCGGAGAGAAAGAAATGTCATCAAGGGCAACATAACCTCCCTTGGCGCTATTGAAAGCAACTTCAAATATTACCTAGAAATTATAATAAGTTGTTATTTGTCTGCCATATAGTCAGCAATAATTTTGTTACACATCTTTGAAATACAGAATTCTGACTGAATGTCCTAGACAGATTCCAGCACATCTCATACAGTACTTCAAGTGTTTGGACTAATTAAATTATATCACTTATTAGGGACATAAATCAAAGCCTAACCTTAGCACTAGGTCATTGCTCACTCAAGGTCAAGGAAAAACCAAAAGGAATATAGCTCTTCTGCTTTATGAAGCACCACTTTTAAAAATGCATAAGGCTTCTGCCATTGTATTATACAATACCACTATTCACAATCATCAGTCCGTACTGTCTAGAACTCCAGTTTAATCTAGAATCTGTCTGGATTAAGAGCTAAAAATCTCCTATGTTCATTATTCTGCTACTAGTTTTCTGTAAATATCCTCAGACATTGAAACCCGTGACTTGACATTAGCTGACAGGGAAGATTTCCTGAACAGAATTTATTTAAAACGCAGAAAAACTATTGCTGTGTTTTGTTTACCACAAAGATCAAACAATGTATTGTATTTAGTCATTCCCAGGGCAAATAATTTCCTCAAGTAAGTGAAGGACCATCCATAATTCTTGAGGAAGTGTCTTAAATTTCTGTTGAGTATCAAAGGTCTAAGATACAGGAAAACTTTGAGAGCCACCCCCAGGGACAAAGGGAATTAAGGACAAATGCTTTGAGAGTGAGATTCTTTTCACTGAAAGCAACACCTCTGATGTTTTGCCTGAGGATGGGAGGCAAACTAGGAGAGCTAGTGTAAGAATCCTGAGCAATCTCCTTGAGCCAGATGAAACACAGAGGAAAGCCCTCTTCAAGCAACCAAAGAATTTATGTATTGAGGTTTAATACTATTTCTATAAGATCTTCTCTGAAATAATTGCTGTGTTAAGTTACACAGAAATTCCTTGAGCAGATTAAAGTCCTGTCTAGCCCAGTGTCTTTTTTCCAGCAGAGAGCACCTACAAAAAAAACTGAAGACAATGACAGGCTTTCAGTTCTTCTTCTCTAACATTATATTCCTTGTGGATTCTTCCTTTCCCATTAATTTTTCTGATCAGTTTTTTATCTTAATAATGGTATCTATAATACATTGTGGAAGTGAGTTCTAGGATTGAATTATATATGAAAAGAACCTCTGTTCATTTTATTTTTAAATTGTTACATGGTAACTAAGAATTTGGAACAGCAATGTAAATTTTGAGAAACAGGGAACAGTTAATCTTTTCTGTGTCCTTCATGACTTTTAAGAACCTCTAACATATTATACTTCCATCTTTTTTTGCAAGTACTGGAAACTGTAATGATTTTTTTTTTTTTACTGAGAGAGCTGAAGTTGCATACCCTGGTGAACATAAGATTTCCCTGTGCATTTACTCAGTGGTACAACATCCTGTGTTTTGCTATTTATTCCCGTATGGATAGTTTCCAACATTCTGGATGTATTTTTGAATGCCACCAGGAAATGAGCGGATATTTTCACAAACTCAACAACAGTATTGCCAAGCTCTAAGTGATGATTAATTAATTTCCATTGATAACACTAGGACTGAGTTTCTATTTATGTAAATTTAGTTTCTATTAAATGAATCAGTAATTCACTTACCGTTCTGTATATGAAGCATTCTGAGAACTGCCTTCCTTTCCTGTGAAGTCTGATGGTTTAAATGGATTATCACTGACTTTACAGAGTAAAAGGCCTACGTAACAGCTCATGAAAATTAGCTTTGCACCTAGTAATTTCTGAAAATCTACAGGTTTATGGTGAATTAGCAAATAAGGTAGGTAGAATTAAAGCAAGTAGAATTTATTTGTAATCCATGTATTAGAAGTATATATATATAGAGAGAATATGTGTGTATATATATAAAAATTACATATGTATGTATAAAATACACATGTAAGTATATATTTATGTATATAATATACATACACTGTTTATTTCAGTCTTCTAAGTTTGGGGTATTTTTTAGAAAACACTAGAGAATAAAATATTCAATTTTTTCTGATACTCTTGAAAGTCATTATAATAAACATCAAGAACTGTCTTTCACATTTAAGGACTATTGTGCTTAGGACCCAAGTTTGGACTTTCTCTCATGAACTGCAGGATCTAAGTAAGGTGTAGACTAGACCTCAAATATTTTTTTAAATTTTTCTTACGCATTATTTTACAATACTCAACATTCTCACAAATGGATCACAGAGTCACAGAAACAGGGTACTGCGAGAACCTTGGTATTACTCGGCAACTAAAAATCCTCCCATCAGTCAGAATCTACAACCTCTCAAGATACTCTGGTCAAGCACTAAATGACCTGGCATCAAAATCAAGCATGAGTGTGTGAAGTGATCCCTCCTTGACCTTTATGCACAGGGCAAAGGAAATCACAGATCACCACCATCTTCACAGCCATCTTTCAGATACTAGATGGTCCCTGCTATGTTCCTGGCTTGGCCTGAGCTGGTAATCATGTCCAAGGCAACCTGGAAGTCACAGCTGGACTATGCAGGAAGGATTGCTTTACCTCCATGGGATACGGCGCATTGAAGTCAACTTCTGCTAGTGCCCAGTCTGCATTCAGTGCACTGTCTGTTTTCCAGATCTCTTCATAAAAGCCACTCATGTCTCTTAGGTAAACAGTAAAAACAATGCTGCTTTCCTGCTTCAGTTGATAATAAAAAGATAAGCAGCCAGATATTGGGACTGTGGTCTTTGGTGAGATTAGCTGGGCCACTTCCTGAAAATCTTTGACATAAACAGAGTCCACATACATGTAGTGACCTAGAAACAGAAAAACATTTGGTATAAGGACACTCTTTAAAAAATAACCACGTACAAGAAGTCTCAGCAGATGAACAGAGACTAGACATATATACCTATGAGCAACAATGGTTGCTTCCTAGAAAATTTCAGTAATTCTAAAACATTTTTTTCCCTCCCTTTTCCTCCTCTGTGCAACCCAAAATTGCTTGGCTAGGATACCACTGGCAAAATAGTCAGTCTCAGCTCTTTCTTTTTTAAGTCTTTATTATTATTAGAAATAATATATTTATCTATATTTGAAACATAATAAACTCTAAACTTTGGGAGCCATTCATAAATGGAAAAATGTGCAACAGCTGTATAAACTCCCTGATTCCTGATAGCTTGGTATAGTATTTAGTCCCTTGTAAGTGCAACTTTTACTGAAGCAATCCAAGTAAATGAACAAGATTATAAGCCATGTGTTTTGTCATCTTTTACACTGCAGTTGATTAAATATATGAAATTATTGTCAAATAGCTTTTAGTCTTTACATATCTGCTCAGTGTTTCTAGGATTTTGTTTACAAATGTCTTATTTTTACTGCATGGACCAGAGTTTTTATGTAAAATCCTTAAAGAAGTTTTTTGGGAGATGTTAATGAACAGAAAAATGCACTGCATTTTTGCATGATGGGAGAGTATCTTTCCATCATGAATATAAGCCAATATGACCTGCAGGATTTTCTAAGGGTACAATTTCTAAGTCTTTGATTTTGGGAGTGCTATCTCAATTTAAACAGGACACATCCATGTTCACAAACATGCTGTGCATTGTAGTTTTTCTTCTTCTGCACTCCCAGAAGCACAGCAACAAACAGTATTTGGTGAACAAAAAATGGCTCTTCACAAGTAGATAGCCTAGAAGATAGAAACGTCAGACTGGAGGGGTTCTTCAGCATGAACATTGCAAACTGTGCCATTCTGTTTGAGTGGGCACCACTACATTAATTACCACACAGCAGTCTCAGACCTTCAGATGTCACTTCTTGCTTCACTCTGGTAGAAGGAGGCAAAAAGACTTACTTGGCTGTAAGTCTCCTCCAGATTGCCCAACGCCAGTGACAGATGACTTCAGCAATACCTGCCTGCAAGATTCTCAGCTTCACTTTTGTTCTGCAGTTTTAGCACATCTCATAGCTTAGCTACAATCTTCCTGGATGATGCAACTTTGCAACATAATTCTTGCAAAAAGAAGGCTCTTCCATGATTTTAGGTTTCTTGAAGTCTTCTTAGTAAATGCTCAGCAGTGAGGGCTTAGTGTGTAATAGAAATGCTGTGGCTACAAGAAAACACACCCCTCCCAGTTGGGAGAATTTCCTTTCACAGTACTTATTTAATAGGCTGATCCACTGTCTGCTGTTGAAGTTGTGGTGAGTTTAAACTTCCATCAAAATTTTACCAGCCTTTCAGTACCAGGGGGTGACGCAGGGTTGGAAAGACACTCTGTACTCAACTCACACAATGGTGAAGTAAATAAAAAGGCACAGTGGCATGAGTTAAGGAAAGAGGATCAACCCTGCTTTTCATGAGACGTGATTTCTTGCACTGCCACAAGCATCATGCCAATCAAGACACACAGTGTGCAGCACCAGTCCAATGTCCTGACCATCACCTGCTGTGGTACTTCATGCAAAGGTGAAGTTATCCCACAACCTTCTTCACAGCTGTGTAAAAATCTCTTCCCTGAGCAAGGTGTCCAGGACAAACATTTCATACCAGCAAGTGCAGAAATTCCAATAATTCTTCCCAGCATTATGTCTCTGAGGGGCTGTACTAACAGCACTACATTTGACTAAGAGAAACAAAACTTCTAAACTGTACAGTTTCACCCAAGATTCTCCAAGCATGTTATAATAACTTAGTTTTCCTACTCAATTTTCTCAGTAGCCATTGGAAAGAAAACTCCTTCCAGATTTACAGACCAGCAGTACAAGAATTTAAAACTTACTGTGGCCCATACATTTAGAATACATAGAAAGTTGAATTTTCCAGCTCTCACATCCAAAATTTTACTTGTACCTCTGAGTACTTTTGAATCCTAGCAAAGAGTGTAACAACATTTTTATAAAGCTTACAGGCAATTTTGTGTGAAGTTCTGCAAAATCCCCCAACCTTTTTTCTAATCCCTTTTCCCCATAAATCACTCTTACCATCTCCACTCCAACTCCAGAAGGGAAGGAACTCACATAATAATAATTCACACTATGAAAGTCATACATGAATCACAGACTCAGACTTTTCCACTATATTTCTGCTCTACATGTATTGCTTACCCAGTGCACTGTTAAGTGTGTGGTCTTTGGGCAGGATAGACTGAGAATTGCGAATGTTCCCTCCACCAACAAACCAGTTGACGTTAGGATTCCAGCGGTTCACATAGCCACAAAGATGGTTTTCTTCAAAGTCACATTCTGCAATTGCAGACACCACCAGCTGAATGCAAACATTTTCATTACAGAAATGGGAAGAGCAAATTGCTAAGCACTGGCCTCACTTCACATATGGCAGAGCATATAATGCCTTTATTTATAGAACTGGACATAGCATTTAAGAGCTGGTAATAGAAGCAAACTATTCAAAATTTTGGTACTTTTTGGATAAAATTTTCATTTTCAACCTCTTTGGACCAATCTGTCTTTTCATCATTTGCCAGGATAGGACTGCTGTAATTTAGAACCAAATAAAGCAGATTTAAATATACCATGTCCTTATAGTAAATAGTCAAAGCAGAACTTTTACTTGCAAATCAGGGATGGCCAGAAGCAAAGCAGCATAAGTATTTCATAACAGTAATGCAAGTAATGCAAGTAATGCAAGTAATGCAAGTAATGCAAGTAATGCAAGTAATGCAAGTAATGCAAGTGCTTTGTCTCCTTCACAGAGACAAAGAATTTTGACAACTTGGTTGGACTCCACCAGAGCTCTCCAGAAATGTGAAGATCTCCCAGCCTCCTAGACACTGGAATTTTTGAACTTCATTAAAAGTTTTTAGCAAATATCATGAGGAAATGGCAGTAAATGTAAAAAAAAAAAATATATACATATATATATATATATCAGCAAAGTTTTTTGCCTGCAGCCTCAAGGTGACATTTGTAAGGAAGCCATGAGCAAGCAGAGAGCAGAAATAGTCTTGTAGCTGTTATGTCTAGTATTTGAAGCAGTGCAAAGCTTTTTAAAATATAACAGTTGTTCCTGCTTGAAAAAGAAATAGATTTGGAATTATATTGTTATATATAATATGTGTGTATGTATATATATCTATATATTAAAATACATATATATATATATATATCACAGAGATTGGTGAAAAAACCCCACTTACTAGTTTGTGCACTCTTAGCTTAAAAATTATCTGTATTGAATATGGCAGTGTACTTTTCAATTATGAAAAAGCCATTGTCTTTTTTTTAAAGCCAGACCTTCCATCCAGTTTTAAAACTGCCAACAAGGCATTCTCTTCTATGCAGAGAATATGAGGATTGAGTGAAGAGTACTTACCAATACAATATCCAGAAGTTATTTTGATTTCAAAAACTGCTATACTGGCGGATTTATCTTGTCTCATTTCACCTTCCAGTACCAGCTGCACAATATAAACCAAACTGTCAATTTTAGGATTTCATTAGTTTAAATATTTAAACAGGATAAACAGGAGAACAAATTAAATGTTTCTTGGGGAACCATCATCTTTACAGTCAGGCGTGCTTTTGCTGAAAGAGCTTGGCAGAATGTATTAAAGATGGAGCCAGTGCTCTTCTTTAACCACAGAAGACATGCTGAAGAACAATGAGACAAGGCAAAAAATTTCCACATTTCAGTTGAGAGTATGGAATTCCATATTCCTCAGCTGTGGTTATACAAGATGTTATTGTGAGTGATGGATGGATTCTGGGTAGAAATACTCTTCTGTCAGCATGTCACTCCTTCCAGAAAGGCACAGAGGGGAGGAATAAGCGAGAACAGATGTAGACCCAGGACCTGGGGATTTCCAAATCTGCCATATGGCACCAGCAGCTCTGCAGGGATACCAGGAGATGAAGCATCCTCACGGCAGGGCTCAGCTGGCCATGTGTCCTCATGAGCTGCTCCACGCAGTTGCTGGTCAGAGAACTGCCTTGTGCCAGCTCTGCTCATGGGTGCTAGGGACAGAGGGCTCAGCTGACTTGTGCTGCCAGCATTAGACATGAAAGCCAAGAATAGGGCTCAAAATAAGTTTGCATATATTAAAAAAAGAAGTTTGTACAGCCAAACATATGCCCAACCAGAAAGTCTGTGGCATCTTCTAAAACTGGGCTTACCTTATACTTGTTTGTGCCATTCGTTAAATCTAAGCTAGCTATGAGCCAGCTGTCTGACGGCTCGCTGGTTGACCACAGCAAACGATCAAAACTTTCTCCTTCCTGCCTCAAGTACAGGTTGAGCCTGGCAGGATCAGGTGAGGCGTCTGAAGTTGTCGCTATCTGATAGATCAGTCTGACACAGCTCCATTCCTCAGAGTATAGATCAGGGCTGGACAGCACTGCCTTCTCACCCTCATAAGACGTATCCACAGAAATGTAATGTCCTGGGAACAGACACACACCAGGCCAATAAATGTCAGAGGCTTTCCTTTTGCATCCCTGGAGAAAAGTATTTATCTAGGAAGGAATGGTAATTCTGGGACTAGGTCAGGAAGCTGAGACCACCACTCCTCTGGTAAGTCACTTAACCTTTTGGTATCCTACTGTACTCACACAAATGTGACTTCACAAGTCTCCCATCATGTTTAAACACAATTTTTATATTATTGGAAATTTTGAGATAGGATTATTTATCTTGCCTCAAAATTTTATTTATATTTATTTAATGCAGATTATTAAGTAGTACCCTTTGGAACTGATAGCTGTAGATAGACAATTGCATTGACAAGACAATTTGCACACAGAGAAATATTTTGCAGGAGAATTTAGTTGTTTTATTTTCATGTAGGTTTAAAAACAATACATAAAATAAGACATTGCAGATAAAAACTCCCAATGCACCTCTATTTCAAAGAATAAAACTAGAAAAACACTTCTAAGTAGTAAAATTAACAAGTTCAAGTCTGCTGATTAAAAAAAATATTGCAAAATGTAAAGCAACATTTAAACACAGCAGCAGTCCAATATAATTTTAAAATTACTCTCTGGGGCAAGGTCTAAAACTACCTTCCATATAAAAATGAAAGAGTGCAATGACAAGCTAAAAGTACATAAGGAGGCAAAAAAAGTGCAAAAGAAACAATGTGTAGAAAAATGAGGCAATGGTAAATAAATTATACTGAAGCATAAGCATGGTCCTGAAAGGTCTACTAAGACATCAAACCCAAGATCAGAAGAGTAAAATGGACTACAGGAGTCACAGAAACCTGAAATACAATGCCAGAACCAAGTGATTCAAAAAAAGAAAACTTAAAAAGAAATTTAAAAAACCCAAAATACCACAAAACTGTCAGACAAACTAGGACACCCATGTCTGAAACGTTACCCAATAGATTATCAGGAAAATGATCATGCTAACCTAATGTCAATGTACATTAAACAAATCCCATTTCTGAGACTAATTCTCATCACCGGAGCTGCAAGTATGAGTTAAAATTGCTATCAGGGCCTGTGTCAAATTAGCCCTTTAGTCAGCAGCACATCACACTTTCCAGAGAATATACTTGTTCTTTAATCTCCTCTCACTTGACCACAGAGCTTGTCAGTTTCCATGCATATGTAAATATTTTGGTAACTCAAAAATGTCAGCAGCCATACTGATGTTAAATACATTGCTTGCCTCTGAGGCACAAAAATCCCCTCCCAAATCCTGCCTGAACCCTCCCAATCTACCAAGACACCATGGGGTTGATTCCCAGAAGTTCCTTTGTTGCATTTTGAAAAGTATTCTCTCTAAAGGAAAATAAATCATCGGCATGGAAGGTCACCACCCTCTCAAGGCAAAGCATATGCATAGTTCTGCTTTATGAGGTTCCCACAATCTTCTCCCATACACCCCAGGAAGGTGCCAGGAGAAGACAGTCACTCTGACAACACCTGATTCTTTGGGAACTGCATGTTACAGCATCCCCCTGCATCTGCTCCCTTTCTCACCTGCAGACACAATGCCCAGCAACCCATTTGTACTGCATACTTTGTTCAACTGATGTAAGAGAAATGATTGCTAGGAGATAGCTGCAGCCCTAAGCAGTGTAAGGGGCTGTACAAATACAGAAAAGCTGCATTCTCTTTCCCTTTTTAGGGAATGGAAATTTTTTTGCCTCTTAACATGATTTCTCTTTATATCTGCTGTCTGGTTTTAGTCTACTGGGAAAAAATACGAAATCACTGGTAATGTACAAGTAATTTGTTACTGTAGCAGTATTTGAAAGAAAAATAAACACAAGAATAAATATTTTAAAATAGACACCTAATGTGCGTGCCAAATACTTAATCTGCCAGTACGTGACATGGGAGCCCATAGCTTCCACTTTCATGCATTAATCCAGGTAGCTCACACAAGTTAGCACAGACAGCATTTATTTGCTGGCATATGCTTGCCCAAGGTACTCTATTTTCAGAAGATAGAGAGTAATCATCGAGACTCCATCAGAAGTCAAATCCTTAAATTAAAATATTTGGTTTTAATTGATGTAATTGATAATATTCTATCCAGATGAAGAATCTATATTTTTAGGTTAGCCTGAACTTGGATCATTTTACTTAGAAAGAAACCTACCATTTGGAATCCATGCCTGGCAATTTCAGTTTAGATTTCAGCCCTGTTTTTGTCTGTACTTCAAGAGAAACCCCACAGAAAACAGATACTTCTTATAATAGTAATCTTTTTTTTTTTCCCCAGAAATTAGCATTGACATAGGAAAATACATTCACATGAAGACCTCAAATTACCAGCTATGAAGCTTAAATAGTTGCCAGGATTTAAAACTGAATTATATGTAGACTAAGGTTTCTTCTACAAAAATAGTGGTTTCAAAGAAAACCTCTTATAATTTCCAATCAGGATGATTATGTCAGTGTAAATTTGACTCAGCTATCTGCGTGTTGTGCACTTGCTCTCACTTTTGTCTGATTCACCACAGGTACAAGAGCAAAGATCATGAACTCCCTTTTTAACTGGGAATGGGGGTTGGTTGCTTTTTCTAAAATGATTATAACTCTCCAGAAACAGAGTGCTCTCACTCCCAACCTAATAATTTTAGCTTCTTTTGAAATCTTAAATGTGTAATTGGCTCCACTGAAATTAATGTATTGATTGAGAGCTTTATGTGTAGGTTCAAATGCTTTGCTAATCAGGATCAGGGACTGTGGCACTTGGCAGTTCCAAGCACAGAAAATGCCAACATTAAATTTCTCCCAAATGAATGGCAGCATTGACTACATCCTAAACACTGGCCTTGATCCTAAACTGCACTTCAGTACCACCAATGACGTGCCATTGGTGCAGAAAGGAAAATCTCACAATGAGGTCTCAAGGACTGACACAGAGCAATTGTGACAAAGCAAGGCAAAGGGGGTGGTCCTTGGAGTAAAAAAGCAGACAACTTTCCACACTTGTTTGTGGGAGTAATAGAAGGTGATTTTCCAGTCTGTGGAGAATTTGATGAATGCACAATGGTGTAACCTCTTAAAAATATAACACAGAGCTTCATATTGCTTCATATTGCAGCATGCCACAATCCTTGTGTAAATGCTCATGACAGTTAACCTATAGCAGCCATTCAGGAGTTATCAAGAGAGGGCTACTCTTTAAAATCACAGAAAGGCAGATGAGAGTAGTCACAAAACTCTAGGAAAAGCCTGATGACACAGAAACACAAGCATGACATTTCCAGCAATTACTTGCTCAGGGGGTAGATGCAGTCCTTAGCAGTGTAAAAGGCTGCGCAAATACAGGAACGCTGAACTTTCTTTGTCATCTTTTGACTGACATGACTTCTTGAGTATCATGAAGAGTGGCCTGGCAGCTGTAGAGTCAACTTCCTCAGGACTCTTCGATACATCTCATCAGATCCCATAGACTTATGTACGCTCAGGTTCCTCAGGTGAACACAAACCTGATCTCTCTGAGGGACATGACTCCCACAGCTACATTTTACAGTCCATTCACTCACAAGGTGTGGGGAAGAGAGGCTGTCAGTGAGAACTGAGGCAAAAAAATTTTGAGTACCTCAGCCTTCTCCTCATCCTATTTACCAGTTTGCATTGCTTATCAATGGAGTAAATGCTTTCTTTGATCTTCCTTTTCTGGCTGACACCCCTATATATGCTCTTTGTTTTGTTCTGTGTGACCTTTGTGAAGTTCAGCTCCAGCTTTGCCTTTGCCTTCCTCACCCCATTCCTACAAAACTGGGCTGTGACCCCATAGTCTTCCCTGGATACCTGTCCTTACTTCCACTGACTGTCGATTTCTTTCTTGTCCTTGAGTTTGACCAGCAGGTCCTGACTAATGCATTCCAGTCTTTTGCCTTCTTTGCCTGAACTTTTACTCCTTTTCTTGTGTTTTACAGAAATCAGCCTTAAAGAGCTGCCAAACTTCTTTTGCTCCCTTGACTCTCAGAGCAGTTTCCCATGAGACCCTACTGACTACATCCTTGACAACCTGAAATTTTGTTTTCCTAAAATTCATTATTCTGACTTTACTCTTTGCCTGACCCATATCCTTCAGGACTGCAAACTCCTTGAGTGCATGATCATTGCAGCCCCGGCTGCCTCTAATCTTGACAGCCCAAATTAACTTGTGTCGGCAACCCACGGGTCCAGTATCACATCCCCTCTGGTAGGCTGTCTATAACCTAGCTTCAGAAGTTATCCTCCATGCACTACCAGAGTCTCCTGGACTGCTCACAGCTCGCCGTGTTACCTGCCCAGCGTTGAAGGCCCCTAGCCAGACAAGAGCCTGCAAGCAGACCACCTCTTGCAGCTGGAGCAAGAAGGCTTTGCCAGCAGGCTCCCCTTGGTTGGGCAGCCTGTAGTACATGCCAGCATGACGTTCTCTTTGCTGTCTCAGTGTCTGATTCTTACCCACAGGCTTTCAACCTGCTCATGCCTGTTCTTCAGAGACAGAACTTCATATTCAATCCACATCCTGAAACAGAGGGCTACCCCTCCACCCTTACTTTTCTGGAACAGCCTGTAGCCATCCATAGGTGCAATCCAGTCATAGGATTTGTCCCACCAAGTTTCAGAATTGGAAATAAGTTAAAACTTCACAGCAGCACAGTGGCTTCTTTCTCTTCCTGTTCGCTGCCCACACAGTGTGTACTGGTGGAAAGGCACCTCAGCTGAGCTGTCAGCTCATGCTGCCCTTTTGCATGAATGCCCTCTAATCTCACTGAGGTATTTCACTGGTATTTCTTGCCTTTTGTTACCTTAGGTGCCCCTGGCTTGTCTCCATACGACATCAAATGTGCTCCAGTGCGACTTTAGACAACTGGCAGCCAGCAGGTGCCTGGTGAAGGCAAACACCTCCAGCTGGGACAAGGGTTGAGAGAAAGGAGATTCAGATGCATTTCCCTCACCACTCTCTCACTGCTCAGGCTAG